TCCCGGGTCCATGCTGGACTCACTCCCCGCCTCTCGCGGCCTGCAGTTATGGCCGGGCCTTTTTGACACTGCCTGAAAGGCATGGCCCTGGTCATCAGGCTCACACCAGCCCCACCGTCTCTGTCCCCTTCTCTTTAAGTCTGCATCCTGCATGGTGCTCTGTCGAGGCAGGTGACCCTGGGTGCCCTTTAGAACTCTGGATGGCTACAATGCCCCCCGATAATTATCAAGGGCCCTGGCATGTCTGATAACTCTTGATGGCTCTCAATACCTGCGAAATGCTTCCCAATGATCCTTCATTTTTCTCAATAGCCCCCGTAACTCTCAAGCCTTCTGGTCACAGCCTCTGTGCTGTGACCTTACATTGCTCCATACAATTCTCCTGGATCCCCAGGACTCCCCCTTTCCCAACATCTTTCAAGTTTCCAGGGTCTCTGATTGTCCCCTCTTCTCTCAGTGCCTCTCACTGGTCCCACAACCCCTGGTCCCTCTCAGTAAACCTCAGTGCCCTTCTATTATTTCTGGGATGCTATGGACGCTTCCAGAGGTCCCTAGTGTTACCAAAGATGTTTCAAGGCCCCAGAAGACCCTCAGACCTTCCCCACATGGCCTCCATCACCATCCGTAGCTTCTCCATGGCCTTAAATGAATCGTCAGTGCTGATCGCTGTGGCGGCACCCAGTGGATCCCATCGGTGCTATGATGGCGAATTTCATGTGCCAACTTGACTAGGCTAGGGATGACCAGATAGCTGGTGAAACTGTTCCTGGGAGTGTTTCCAGAAGAGATTAGCATTTGAATCCATACACTGAGTCAAATAGGTCACCCTCACCAACGCTGGTGGGCATCGTCCAGTCCACGGAGGATCCAGTAGAACAAAAGGCTGGAGGAAGGGCACATTTGCTCACTCTGCTTGAGCCTTGACACCCACCTCCTGTTCTTGGACATGAGTGCTTTTGGTTCTCAGACCTTCGAGCTTAGATTGGAGTCACACCACTGATTTTCCTGGCTGTCCAGCTTGCAGACAGATCACAGGACTTCTCAGCGGTGAGCCAATCCCTCTGAAATGTCTTTCTATATATGTGTGTTTGTATTGATACCCTACTGGTTCTGTTTCTCTGGAGAAACCTAATACAGGTGGTCTGTGGAAAACGCACAGGCCCTGGAGCCAGACACACCCGGGGCTGTTACCCAAGCTCTGCCATGTTCCAGCTCTGTGACCCTGGGTAGCTGACTCTACCTCTCCGAGTCTGTATACTCATGGGCAGCATGAGTACACCATGCCAACCCACAAAGTGGTTGAGGGTGAGGTAACACACATGAAAGGGCCCCAGATGGTTTCCAGCACTGAGTAGGTCCTTCAGTGTCTACTAATTCCCTTTCCCCAGTTCCCCACCTTGGAGCAAGCTGGGAATGCACTCATCGAAGTCCCTGTCCCGTGGAGGGAATCTGTACCAGGTGCCAGTTTTGATAACCCTGTGAACTGACCCCCTCGCTCTGTCAGAGAGATTGGGGGTGGGGCCACACCAGCCTCACTGCAGGTGAAGTCGCATGGGGGGGGAGTTTACAGAATACAGGTCAGGGATGGGCAGAACTCCGGTTTCTACCTGGTTCCCCCAAAGCCTGTATCTGTCATTACTAAGGCTATTCTCTCACCTCGAATGCCCTTCCCCGCAAAACTTGTAACTCAAGTCTTTAGTCCTTGGTTAAGTGGCTGAAAACATGGGCTCTATGCAGACCAGGCGAACTGGATCCAAGCCCAGCTCCTCCACCTGCCAGGAGGAGGCATATCTGGTATCTCTTTGGGCAAATTAGTTACAGTTTTAAACTTTAGTTTCCTCATATAAACCACGGGGCTAACAACACTCACCTCTTAGATGGGTTGTGAAGCTCTGCTGGGTGATACAGGCACAACAGGGACACAGCAGGTGTTCAAGAAAGTTCTTACTCCTGCTTTGGACACTCCCCGAGTGCTTGGTTCTTGGTACATCCATCCTAAAGTTTCTCATGGAGTGGTTCTGACCCTTCCACTAGCCTGGAAGCTTGGAGAGTGGTGTGTGTGTGACTCCTCCCAGCATCCATCCCCTCCCCACCAAAGTGGACCTTATTTAAATGTGAGAGACAGAGAAGTGGCCAGAGTCAGCAACAGATACTGAATTTTCTCCCTAATGGATAATGAAAGGCCCAACTCACTGGCTTTTTTTTCTTTTTTTTGAGTTGGAGTCTCACTCCATCGCCCAGGCTGGAGTGCAGTGGCACGCTCACGGCCACACCAGTGTCTACCTGCTGGGCTCAAGCGATCCTTCCGCCTCAGCCTTCCATGCAGCCAAAACTACAAGTGCACGCTTCCACGCCTGGCGAATTTCTGGATTTATTGGAGAGATGAGGTCTTGCCAAGTTGCCCAGGCTGATTCTCAAACCAGTGGGCTCAGGCAAACCCCTCACCTTAGCCTCCCAAAGTGCTAGGACTACAGGCTTGAGCCACCATGTCCAGCCACTCATTGGCTTTTTAACAGCCTGAAATGGTGCAGGGCACTGATTATGAGACAGGAGGAAGAGGAGTGCTAGGGGACTCTTGGGCCATTTGTGTTTCTCTCTAGGCCCCATTTCTTCACCAGTCTACCAGTGGTTAACCTGAGGCCCACATAAGTGGGCACACGTGCTCAGTGCCACATTTTAGAACTCCAACTAGCTAAAGATAGGAAGTCAGAACAGCTCCTCCCCATGAACTTCCTCCTGTCCAGAGGGGTGTGAACTTCTCTTTACTAAGAAGAGTAGGAACACTGAAGGGAAGGTGCTGTTCCACTTATCTTAATATCCCCTGTCCTGGGTCCAAGTATGAAACATGATGGGTGCATATTTAAGGGCTGCAGGATGCATGAAAGGACCCAGTTTTCCAGAGTTGGCAGAGTTTTCTCAGAAGAAAGATCCTGCTCTTTGGAGCCTGATCCCCTCCCCCATCCTATAGGAAAATCTCTTAGGCCTGAGATAGACCTTGACTTCATTTCCAAAGGTCCCTACCCCGTCTCTGGTTAATTGCAATGTCCAATACAGCCAGGCTGTGGAGTCACACTTGGCCAGCAGGGGTCACTAGCAGCCTGCAGGGTCTACTGCATAGTTTCTCCTGTTATTTGGTAGGCTGAAGAATCTGCAAAACAAGTTACACGGGAGGGAATGAGGCCCACATTTCTGTGACCCGGCCTCTTCTTGTCTTGCAACTGGCAGCTGCTTAACACAATACCCTTCAGACATGAGGAGGGAAGGTGGCAGGAACAGGTGACAGCTCTGTGAAGGTAGGAGGTACTCAGGGATCCTCTGTGGATCAGAGATGCTCTGAATTCCAGAACTCTGTGGGATGCTTTCCCTGTGAGTAGACAGTACCACCTCCGAGACGGTGACAGTCCAAGACAGGACCAGGTAGACTTTAAGCAAGAAAGGTGACCAGGCAGGAACGAGCGGCCACCAGTGTGAGACGATCTTACTGTACAGTGAATGGGCAGCAGAACAAAACACATTCTGTTGTCTTAAGTGGCTGCTTGAAAATCTCAGACACAAATTTAGAGATATCTAAGTTCTGAGCAATACTGCAAACACGTCGTGAGTGCAGGCACTCTTCATTCAGGATAACTAGTGTGAACACAGAACTCTACCTCTCACACCCAGAGCTCACAGGATCACTATCATTACCCTGAACTGAAAACAGGAGCTGCTATCCCCATTATAGAGATGAAAAAACTGAGGCTTCGGCCAGGCATGGTGGCTAATACCTATAATCCTAGCATTTTGGGAGGATGAGGTAAGAGGACTGTCTGAGCTCAAGGGTTCGAGACTAGTCCAGGAAACTTGGCAAGACCTCATCTCTACAATAAACCAAAAAACTAGCTGGGCATGGTAGCACATGCCTGTAATTCCAGCTTCTTGGAAGGCTGAGGCAGAAGGATCACCTGAACCCAGAAGGTCGAAGCTGTGGTGGTTGTGAACGTGCCACTGCATTCCAGCCTGGGCGACAGACAGTATGACTCCAACTCAAAAAAACCAAAAAACAAAAAACAAAAAAAACTGAGGCCGGTAAGGGTAGATCCTGTAGTCTAAACTAGAGCTGCATGCTCCCCGTCCCCATCCCTTTCCGCCTTCCTTGCCTGCCTCAGACATGAGGGTCTGCCTACTAGGATGGGGTATGAGCCTTGTGGAAGCTACTCCTACCATTGCGAGGAGAAGGCCGTGGCTTTCTTTGGGCCTCGTTGCATGAGAAAGAGCAAGGCATAGTAATTAAGAGAGGGCTTTGAAGCCGGGCTCGGTGGCTCAGCCTGTAATCCCACGCCTTGGGAAGCTGAGGCGAGTGGATTGCCTGAGCCTGCGGGTTCGAGACCCGCCTAGGCAACTTGGCGAGACCTCATCTCTACAATCAATCAAAAAATGAGCCGGGCGTGGTAGCGCATGCCTGTAATTCCGGCTACTCGGAAGGCTGAGGCGGA